AACAGTAGCCGTGGGTAGGGATGCTGTCACAGAGTTGATAAAAATTGCGCGGCGGCTGCCGGAGAGCTGGAGGTTGGATGTTGTTGTAGTTAGCCCATGTGGTGTGAGAAGCTGTCGCGGGACCGTGAACGTTCCCTAGTGTGAGTGGCAATGTTGGTGTGAGTTGCTGGGGTAGTTTGTGGTGGAGGGCCTGTCCAAGATGAGTGCAGGCGGGCTGCGTCTTGTGGTGGGGTACGTGGTGAAGGAGTGGGTGACCGGCTGGAAAGCCCGGGTGGTAGTGGAAAACCTGGCGGTACGTTGTGGATAATAGCCAGGTTTCTGCTGGAGAGTGTGGCTGTGGGGTTGATGCGGTATTGTCCTGGGAGCCCGGGGCCGGTGGTGACAAATTGGAGGAGTCGTCGAGCCTGGGAGAGGTCATCGATCAGGCGGTCTAGCAAGATCAGGTCGCCGCGCAGTCGGTAGAGGAGGTTGTATGCTCTCTGGTCTTGAAAGTGAGTCCGGCTTGGCATAGGTTCAGTGTGGAATGGGTGACGGCGGAGATGTTGGTTGACCATAGATAGGAGGTCCAAGGAGCCGTTGAGGGATTGAAAATCGGGTTGGGTACAAATCGAAGGTTGGAGCCAGCTGGGAGGGCAATGTGGGAGGTAGTGTTCGGTATCGTCAGAGCTGCTATGAGGGCGAGCGCGAGGATTGGCCCCCCCCCCCATTGTGATGGCGTATAAAAGGCTGCGGTGCTGAGGTGAGCCTGAAAACTGTGAAATCAAAGGTGGGCAACTGGGTGAAACATAAATTGGGTGTGAATAAACACAATTCAGTGCATGTCAGCTGATTTGTCGTGTGGCACGCCGTAAGGAAAGTGGGTGAAACGGATCAAATGAAATAGCTGCCAACTGGCGTGATTGGAGATTTCTCCGGATGACTGTCCTCACTAAGCGGTCGCTCAGCAGCCGGCGGCAGCGGCGCAGCAGCTGGAGTCGTTGGGTATTGTGAAGTCGGTGGTGTTGTGGTGGGGGAAGGGGAGAAGTCCGGTTGTGAGTGTGGTGCTGGGGAAACTGCTGGTGATGTAGGTGTTGGTGAGGGGGAAGGTGCTTGCCGTGGTGGTGCAGGTGGTGGTGGTGTGGAGAAAAGTTGCTGGTCTTGCTGTCGTTGCATGTCTTTGAGTTCTTGCCAGCGGGCTTGGCATTGTGCAACGGAGAAACCGACTCGGCGGGCCACAGTAGCCCAGTTGGGACGAAGTTTTGGGTTTTCTTTGAGTTCGATCAGGCGACAATCAGCGTCGCCGTCCCAAGCGTCCCAATCGGCGTGTTGGTTCAGTGGTGGTGGGGGTGGTTGCTTTCGCTTGCGTGTTGTGGTGGGTTGTGGATCAGGGGGTGTTGCTGGAGTGTCGTCTGAATCCTGTAAGGGTGGTGCTGGTGAACGGATGGGTGGTCTGGATGGTGATGAGTCGCAGGATGAGGTGGTGGATGGTAAACGTATGGGGTGATTGGGTGGAGTTGGAAGTGGCTGAAAGTGTTGGCGGAAAGTGGGGTCTGCTTGGTGGCTGTGGTGGAGGAAAACCGTGTGGAGGTGTGCTACAATATCTGTTGCTTGTCGGAGCAGGTTGTGCACCTGGGAAAGTGCCACTGCGGTTTTGTGAAGGAGAGTTGCGGTGTCGTTTTGTAGAGGTGTCAGCTTGCTGCTCATGGGGCTGAGATGTAGGGGTGTGCAGTAGTCAAGAATCGTCACAGGTTGCTGCGGCAGCGCGCCAAAGCAGCCGGAAAGCGGCGAGTCTGAGGAAGCACATCATTCCGAGGCCGTGCATATGAATTAAGCGAGCATCAAATTCCCACAGGCAAAAGGGTGAATACACAATGCAAATTGGACAATCGAGTACATGGCTTAAATAATCACTCTCCACGAGGCAGAAACTGACATGTGAAAGACTCCTGCAAAACAGCCGAAACATTTCAAAAGATTCTCAGCAAAAACTGCGGAGCTAGAAAAATGAAGGGTTCAAAATGCCCGTGGTTGCTGCAAGAGGCTCTTTTTTGCTGCTACAGCAAAGGTTGGGTGGTGGTGTGAGACCAAAAGTGGATGTGGGGGTGGTAGTGATGTGTGGATGTGTGGCAGTGGCGTTATGGGTCCGGTGGGGTGGAGTTGGTGGACCAGGCCAGTCCTTTGACGATGGCGTGGTCCGGGTGGATCACCCAGCAGCGGCCCTTCTGATGAAAGACCGCACCATGGTGGTCGTTAAGGAGGTTCATGGCGTGTTCCTCACCTCCAGAGGTATACTTTGTGGCGGCACCCCAAGCAAGGAGTGTGATGATAAGGGAATGGGTGTTCTTGTGGAGTTGCCAGGTGTTGTGGATGATGCGGGCAAGTTCGTTGTGGTCATGGGGTTGGTTGTGGGTGATGCGAACGCCCTGGGCAAAAAATCCAGGGTAGTTGGCAAAGTGGAGTGTGCTGGGTAGAAAACGGCCTTGGCGTAGAATGTTGGAAATGTTGCCGACGGGGCCTGTGTGGCCTGCGTTGATGTGGGCAACTTCTCGGTGGGTTGATGTGGCGCGGGAAACCGCAGGTGGCTCGGGTGTAGTGGCTTTGGTGTTGAGGAAGGGAAGTGAAATGGCAAAGTACTGGAATTGGTCGTATTGGTGAGTTGCGTCGTTCCACTTAGCGTGGGTGTATTGGCGGAAATCGTTGATCTCCTTGTAGGAGATGTGGCAGTCTGTGAGGATATTGGCAATGTACTGGTGTTGTGGTCTGTTGGGATTGTCGAGTTGGGTGGCGTGGAATTCGAGCCATTCCAGGATTTGGTCTGCGGGTGTGAGGGTGTGAAAGTTGAGTGGAGGTCGCCAACGGTTGAATGGGCGACGGATGACGGCTGTGGTGGGATATTGAGAGGGATCAGGGTTCGCGTGTTCGGTGTTTGGGCGTAGATCAATGGGTGGTGGTGGGGATCGACTGCGGGCTGGTGTGAGGCTAGATGTGTAGGTGGATGTGGAAGGCGAACGCCGTCGCCTGGTTTTGCTGTGGTGTTTGGAATGGTGGTGATGGCGATGTCGGCGGCGGTGGCGGTGGCGTCCTCGGTGGTGATGGTCGGACTTGCGTCGGCTCTTGTGATGGTGGCGGCGACTGCTGTGTGGTGGTTGTGGGGAAGGTGGTTGTGGTGCTGGTGAGGCAGTGGTGTCAGGTTTGTCTGATGCTGGTATTGAGGGTCCCGGTGCTGGTGTGGCAGGGACCAGCGAGGGGGATGCTGAATGTTGGGATATGGTGGCCGGTGTGTTTTGGACTGGTAGTAGATTGTCCTGGGCAGTGGTGGGGATGGGTTGGATCGGTGGTGCTGGATCCGATGGTGGCTGCTGTTGAAATGGAGGTTGTGTTGGCATTGAGACAGTGGTAAGTTGTGGAGGCGGTGGCGGGGGCCCCGGTTGGAGTGGAGGTTGTGTGACGGGGGGAAAGGCTGAATAGGGTTGCCAAACGCCCTGGGGGATGGCACATTGGGGATCTGTGGATGGATAATTGGCAATCGCAGTCTGTTGTTGTGTTGGAGGGGGATGTGTCAGTGTAGTGGGGGGAGGAAGTTCGGCTGGTGGTGTGGGATGATGTGGTGGTACCAGGTAGGACGGGGGAGGTGCTGCTGTCGGAAACACTGGAGCTGGATGTGTGGGTTGCGGTGGCACGTGACATGGGGGGACAAAAGTCCAAGTGGATGGTGTGCCGTAGGTCAGTGCGGTAGCAGTAGGGGCGGATAAAACCGGTTGTGGTTGAAATGGTTGTGGTTGGAGGTGAGGGTATGCTGGTGGTTGTGTCGAGGGATAGGTGGGTGCAGTGGATGGCTGTGGCATCGGCCATGTGGGTTGAGGTTGTGTGGTAGGTAGTGGTGGTGGCGTGGTGTGAGCATAGGGCCACGGAAAATGCATGTCGTGGTCGTAGCTATGGCTCGGCGCGGCGCGGCAGCAAAAGGCAGCGAAGAAATGCCGAGTGGTATTGTCTTGTTGTTGTTGAAGGTGTCAGCGCTGGTGTCGGTGGTGAGGATGTTGTAAGGTGGCGCTAAGCGTTAGCTTGTTGGTAAGTGTGTGTTCATGCATCTCGAATTAAGCTGAAGAGTTGCAATGCCCTTCCTTGAGTGCTGTTGATGAGAGAGTCGCGGCAGCAACATAACGAACACATAAACATGCACATGAAATCGGAAATCAGAAATTCTGAGTCTGAGGGATTCGTCAAAAACCGTTTTTTGGCCCGGCGGCCGGTGTGGCAGTTGATTCAAAGAGGAGGTCGGTGCTTTCCTGTGATGTTCCAGTGATCGGTGGAGCGTTGGGGTGGTTGCTTTCCCATGCAGAAACAGCGCCCCTGTGAAGGGGATCACACTCAGCACCCGAGTGGGACGGCTGAGCAGAACACACTCTGACACTTGTATTCAGTGAACTCAGTTACCACGTTGGGAAGGATGGCGGTGGAACAGCATGGCGAAAAGTCCGAGAAACTTGTAGGTGTTTGAACAAAAGTTGTTTCCCTTGACTGCGGTGACGAAGCGGCTGAAGCTGCAGCGCTGCTGGGGAGGAAAAGGTTTAGGGGGAAGTATCGTGGAACCACCATGGAAGCAAACAAGAGAGATTGGAACAGCGTGGTTAAAAGTTCAAAGTCGCAGGTACGCCAGACTGATCAGGTCTGGTTTCACTGCCAATTGCAAGCGTCTTCGTTGGCAGGAGACTTGCAATGGCACTCCTGCCCCCTGCTTGTGGAGAAATGGTGGTGGAAAACCCTTTGTCCAGGGTGGGACACACACACACACACCGTGGCACTTGACACACTTCACGCAAAACCGCCGCCTGAATAAAGAACAAGACTCGACTTGGGATGGATGTCCATCAATGTCCATCATGTTCCGTCAGTGCTGGATCGATTTTGGGTCCGCCTAAAAGCAATCGAGCAACTATATCCCTCTTGGTTGTACCACCAAGAGGGATTTCCTCTATGAATCAACCTACCCAGGGTATAGGCCCTTTGTGGCACCAGGGTGCAGTAGCATCTCAAGGAACTTGGCCATCGAATACCATCCAGCTGACTCGCTCAAGGCACTGCGTGGCGTCACCTGCCTCTTGCAGACGCGGCAGAAGCGCCACATCCTGGGCCATCCCAGGTGAAAACCCGGGCAATTGTTGGGGGAGTCTGATCAACATGAGGAAGAAAGAAGTTTGGTGCAAAGATGGAACCGGGAAAAAATACTGATACTCGTACTCTGATACTGACTGAACAGGGGTGGATGCCTGGCTTCCGCCTGGCTTGGAAGCTTTCTTGGGGAGGGTGAGGTTGATTCTTTCCTTAGTCTAGAGGATCGACAGCAGATGATGTCCTCAGTCATGGAGACGTCTTCGACAATAGGCAGCGCTTGAAGCCAGAACTTCATGCAAAATCAAAGACTACCAGGTCCCTAGGCCCCAAGGGCCCAGAATGCCCCAGATATGAAACCTTTTGAAACCTACTGCAACTGACGAACGATTTCTTGCCAACTGATACATCATGATATGTCTGACTCTTCGAAGATTTTCAAGTCCTTGACTGGAGCAGGGAAGTACATGGAAGTCATCTAATTACTAATTATGGACGTAATTTTGTTAATCCGCCGGCCCTTGGGCACAGCGTGTTTTGGGTAGTTGGTTTTTTGTTAGTTCTTTGTTAAGCTATGTCTTGTCTGCTTTAGTGCTCCCCCGGGCTGATTTTTGAACGGTCTAACCTGACCCCCCCCCTCCCCCCCCCTTCCCCCATGTAAGTATTGGTGTTTGCGCTGTCTCTTGTTTGTACTTTTTGGTTTCCATGTCATATGTTGCTTTGTCTTTCTTTTGTGAGGACATGCCTTTCTGAGAGCCTAGGGCTTCGCGCCTTCACTGTGGGAACAGGAGCCAATTGTGGAAGTGGGCACTTGAAAGAATCGAAGATTGAAAGAAGCCCCCTATAGCTTTGCCGTGACTGAGTTGGCTTTCTCGCTGCGGCCAAAAGGGCCGGCGGAACAATCCGCAGGTGTAAGTATTATAAAGAAATGTTACTTCGACAGGACAACAAAAACAAACCTGACTCCACAATCTGTCAGGGATCTCAAGAGTGCGCTGCTTATTCTCCTTGTCATCTTTCTTCTCCTTGTCATCTTTCTTCTCTTTTAAGAACAAGGACCAGCGTGTGATAGCACCACTATCGGAGGTCCGCATCTCCTTATGGCGGTCAGCGGTTGGGGTATATCAGCACACCTCTCAATTGCAGGTCTGCACCTTCTGAGTTCCCTCCTGCTAAGCATCTTACTAGCTTCCATTCCTCATCCCCAACTCCAGGCTGCTCAAACAACCAAATAATGCAACCCCTGAATGAAAAACATTCTAAAACAAACAAAAAACGACCAAATTCTACACCAATTCTTGCAATTAGCACTGCAGGTGAAGAATATGGAGGATAGAACACTTCCGTCCGAAAAACGACCAGAAAAACACCCGGTGGCAGAGTGGCGGGGGGGGCGGGAGCAGGATCCAAGGACCGCGAGCGCCCCCTGTCATTCTGCTCGCTCAAATCCATCAGCTCCACGACCTGCCGAAGAACCCGCCGTTCGTCTTTGCTCCGTTCGTAGCGATGCCCTTTGCTCCTAGTGGCGTTCTTGCTCCTATAGTATCTCCTAGTAAGGCCAGAAGCCCCGTTCGTAGCGTCATGGCTCGGGCGACGGTTCTTTGTCGCGGAGGAGCGCCGTTCGAAGCGTCCGTCCAAGGTCGCCAGGGCACCAGTCGGTTGCCCTTCCGCTGGAAGCAAAGCAGTTTGCCACACTCCGGCAGGGGCGGGTCCTCCCCCGGCTCCGTCCCAGAGTTGTCCTCAGAGGTCACACACGTGGTGTGTTCTTGTTTCGGTGTTTTCAGGAAAACACTGAGAGGCGAGGTGTTTGAGTGGGATCAGCATGCCTGCGCAATCAGCATGACTTTTCCATCTTCACCATCTTGGACATTATGAAAACATGTTGAACAAAACCGCTCGAAGGGGACACCGTTCGTTCTCCGGCCACAGCCGTCACACTCCCATAGCCGTCACGCGTCGGTCAGCGGCACCGTGGTCAAGACGGCGTCCTCCGTGGAGAGCGCCGCCGTGGCGCTCACGACGGGGGAGCTCGGGGTGGGCAGTCGCTGGAGACAACTCTCCAGCCACTGCCTCACCTGGAAGCCGGAGACGAGAGGCGAGAGAAATGGCCCGCGCGGTCTAAAGACACACCAAGGGGGAGGACTAGGGGAGGTCGGAGATGATGGATTGCTTGGGTTGCTTGGAGACTCTGGGCATCTTGGAAGATCCTGGAGACGAACCCTTCCAAATCAATTCTGACTTCGCTTTGACACCGAAAAATCACAGAGCTTTCCAAAGAGAGTTCATGGGAGTTCCAGACATAGGAAAGACTCAGTCCTTGCCCCAAAGCGTAATCCTAGGCTGCCCGGCCGTGCAGTCACGCACAACGCCCTCGGTCACGCCCTCTGTCAAATAGGCAGGGAAACGATTGACTTCCGGCGGCTTGCAGCTTTGATCCTTGTTGATGGCATAGGTGATGATCTCCAAGCCTCAACAGTCCAAAAGACATGAGAAACACATAGCAAACGTCTTCAATCGTGTCCTTTCCAAACACCCCAAGTTGCAGATCTATCGATGTTACCGCCTGGGTCCGTAGTTTGTTCGATGCTGCGTCTGAGACCTGGTCAAAGAAACATGAGGACACCATTCATGTAGACTGGTGATGAATAGAAATCCCCCTACCAGAATGGGTGTTGAATGGTTTAAGTATCTTCATATGTATTCCTTTAACCTTTATGCGTCTATGAATCTGTAATAGCCAAAAGTTTACAGTAAATGCTATAACAACCAAAAACGGCGCAGCCTGGAGTTGTTGTCCCGTCCCGTCTTCCTGCCTCGCCTTCTGGGGCCACCCCAATCACGAGCCCTCCAGCAACCACGAGCGGCCCGAAATCCCGTCGAGGAGCTTTGGAAGTCGTCGCCCTTCTCTCCATGTTTCTCCAACTCGCGCTTCCAGGGTGGACACCTCACTGAAGGAAGAGTCAAAAAGCCTTTTCCGAGCACAGCGTCATTTTACAGTATATGGAACTCCACTGACGTTTCAGGGTGGACACATCCACTGCCGCCTTTCTCCTGATGTGCGGGCTTCCTGTAGGCTCTGACTCTGAGTGACTGTTTGGCGTTTTAGGAGACTTCGCAGGCCCCAGATCCCAACAAAACGAACTGGATGACTCCTTTGCTCAAACATCCGGCTCCTTGTTGTCAATACAGAACCATCAGAACCATCAGATGTGCCAGTAACCTTCGAACATATTCGCGTCCGAACAAATGTCAATATGATCAAACACTGCGAAGGGATGCGAAGGAGATGTTGAAAGCAAAGATCCCATGTTCATAGTTAAACAGTGGTCAACAGCCCGTCAAACCTTGCTCACAAGGAACCCCGAACAGCGAGCGAAATCGGGCTCATCCAGGCAAACACCACAGACAGACCGCCACGCACGCACTTCTGGAGACCATCATGGACCCTCATGGACCTCGCCCCAAGAACTCGCTACGTCCACTGGGACCAACCAGGTCACCAAAGCTCAAAGAGGAGCTCGCTTTCCAGTTGCAGGTGCCGAGCCAAGCGCACCGCCCAGCGTAACACTGGCTTGGCCAATACGGCCTGGTCGGTCTCGGGGGTTGATGCAGGGGTCTACTCAGTGGATTGGTTTAAGGATGTTTGAGGGAAAAATCTACGGGAAACCAGGAAACCATGGTTTTCACTGCTCACTGTTTTCTATCTGGGACCGTTGCTTAAACACGAACATCGGTGATATCCCCTCTATGAATCAACATGAATCAACCAACCAAGGGCATAAAAGACCATCCGTCCCACATCGTGGGAATCCCATGATCTCCAGGTGCAAGCTTGATCTCCATTCTGCAACCTTTTGCAAAGAGATACGCTAGTTACGTGGTTTATAGTTTCTAGATTCTAGATGTTTCTAGTTGAGTGACTATCTCGTGCCCGACGTCTTCTAAAGCTCGGTCGCGGATCGGTCCTTTCGCTTCTGGCGATGGTCTCGAGGTCCGGTCGAGCACTGTCACGGTGGATCAGCGTCAAACCGAACGGATCAGCGTCAACACAGTCAACACCGAACCAACACAGTCTTCACGGATGAGCTTCTGTCAGGTGACATTCAAAGCTTCATGTTCCTGAAGAAGATCGGAGCTTTTCAAAGCATGCGCCTTCAGAAGATTGGAGCCTCAAGAAATCGTGTAAAGACCTGTTGACAAAAAATGGTGTACACTCATCATGTCTCATCCTCATATCTCCCATCTCGCTCGCCTACAGGCTGGACTTCCCACCTGCTCTCCACGGAGGCAAACAGTGCTGAACTTGCCCTGAGTGGAGCCCTCAATGACCGTGAGAGCCTTGTAGGTCGCCTCACGTGTGCCGAAACATATGAAAACACACCAATTTCTCTGGGCATCTTCAGTTGATGCAGTTTGTAATTGCCTGCTGCTCAGAAAGTGAGAGCAACAAAAAACTATAAAACACACTTGCTGGAGGAGGTCATTAGGTGTGTGTGTCTGTGTGTGTTGCTTTTTCACGGAGGCATCTTTGGAGTGCCAATTGGTTTAAGGCCTTCCTCTGATTCCATGCCAACGAGCCAGCAGGGAGAGCCCATTGGTTGATTGCGCCAAACGAGTGGTAGTTGCTGCTGGCACACAGAGTTGCCTAAAGATTCCCCAAACCCCAAACCATCTGTTTGTTCATGAATCATTCAGCTAGAAAACTAGAAATTCTACCAATCACCGTGCTCCTCCAAAATGGTTCCAGTCCGAGGAACCGCCCTTTCGCACACCCACCGAGAACAGAGGACCGGGTCTCCGTCCCTTCACCGCGCCTCGCCCACATGGCCGTTGCGGAGCACCTTGAACTTCTGCGCCCTGCCGCCGATGCCTTCCGAGCCCGTCTTCCGGATGGAATCCACCGCAGGGGTCACCTCGGCCCGTCGTCCCGATGCCATCCGAGGGCCCAATGCCGTGAGTCGCCGTGAGTCGCCGTGAACGCGGGCCCGAAAGTCTGGGCATCCCGAATGTGAATCTGGTGAAGCTGAGAAGAAGTGCGGCGAAAGGAGTGCTGCCCTTCAAACTGTTGGTGAGCATATAGAACAAACAACAGAGCTACGTGCCATGTGTTCAGTTTCTTTTGAATGTTCAAACACAAACAGGTGACACCACCAGTTCTTCAGCCGCTCAGGTTGAACCCTTCTGGATTTTCCCTCCCATCAACCAGGATACCTTGCTGCCTGTGCAGCGGCTGATGGCTTGCAGGATGTGTTCAGGCACACCGATGATGACCGAGATGCGCCGGCTAGCCAGGCGTTCCTGGCGCCAGGTTCTGAAGAGCCAAGGGGTCTGGCGCTAGACATCAAGTGAAATGATGTGAAGTGGACGAAGAAACGGGGATCCAGGTTCAATTCATGCATTGTGATGTTCCGAAGTTGCATCGAAGCAAAGTTTGCGCTTCCCGCCCACGGCCAACCTCTCCTGGGCAAATTGCGAGACGACGCCCTGGCAAAGCAGCAGCTTGGGAGGTTCGGGCAAAACATCCCGGTAGATTTTCTCCACCTTGAGATCCAAGTAAATCTGCTCCTGGAGAGGGTCCCACATCTTCAAAGGACCTGTGCCGACCCCACTCCTGACCGGTATGCTTACCCTCCCGCCTTGGCTCAATCTCCATGTCTTTTTCTAATCGATGGACGGTTTTTTGCGATGGATTGTCCATCCCAGAGCCGTCATCTTCATTTGCTTCTTAGGAGTGCCCGGGCACCCGCTCGGTGTCGAAATTGTCTCGGGCTCGATTCCCCCCTGCGCGTGCGTTTGGAGCAGAAGTTGGGGTGTTTTTCGGCACGCGCCAAGGCGTAAAACATCGTAAAACACTTTAAAGTAGTGTGTTTTTGGAATTTGCGAGCCCGCAAAAACTGCAGAAATACATCCGTTTTTGCAGGAGTGTCCGCGCAAAACAGTGTAGTGTGACATGCAGATTCTAGGGTGATGTGACATCCAGTGTGACATGCAAATTTCTCTGTGCATATCAGTAAACAATTGCACAGAGAAATTTGCATGTCACACTGGATGTTGCACCACTGGATAATTTGCATGTCGCACTGAATGTGGCATTTGTGAATGCGCCCAATCTGCATATCGCAGCTTTCTCCGATCTCCAAGTTTGTATGTATATGTATTACCGATAATACCCGTCAGGTCGCAAAAATGCCGAATCCGAATCCCAATCATCAAAAGCAGCTAGGCCTAGGCTAACATAGGCATGAAATAGATCCGGAATCTAGAATATATAAATGGATGGATAACTGTTCCATTCATGCATAGTTTTCAGTATAAAAATGAAATGCTCAGATACTCTCTCAGGAGTCTCTCTCTCCCCTCCCTGTCACTCATGAGTGAGCCTCCTTCAACAAGGAGCAGAAGAGAAAACATGCGCAGCATGCAACAGTGTGGCCTCATGTTTGAGGTTACACAGTGCAACATGGCCAAATAACACTGGGACACAGTGCGACATGGTCGGCCACATACAAGTTACAAATTTGTTCTGTGCCACTAAAACAAGTGAAAGTTACATGCAAATGCAACATCCAATGTTGCAGACAAATTTCCTTAATTTTGGGATACCCCCTCTGTGGCTAAAGTAAAATCATAATGATAGCTGAAAACCATCGGTATTTGCAGTGTTTTCTACCGCAAAAGTGCAAAAAATGCCCAGGCTGTTATTCTTGCCCAGAAGAGACGCCTATTTCCGGCGAAGAAATTCTGCAGGCACTGTTCCGTACCATAAACGTCTCAACCCTGGTGCCAAGTCATGCGGAACCTTGTGGCAAGCTTTCACTGGGCCCCCCTCGAAGAGGTTCCCCCCACTTTTGTTCCAATCATTCTCATCACACCTCTCGGGCGCCCCATGGACAAAAACCCAACCCAGGGCCGGTGTCTTCAGGGCAAGCGCTTGTGAAGGTACCCCCGCTTGCGCGGAGCAGTGTCTGTGTTAAGAATGTCTTGTAGTCTGTGCCCGGCATCGCCGGCGTGCGAAGCCGGTCAATTGAAAAGTCCAAACGTCCGAGGTCGGTGCTGTGCCACTCCTGGTCTCTGAGGACATCGAGGTCGGTCCGCACATTGTATTTGTCGAAAGTCAAGGGCATCTGGATCAAGGTCAAGGGGCAATCGCTAATGTCCTTGGGCTGATCAAACCATCACCAGTTTGCGAGCCAACATGCTTTTCCCCAGGGTGCATTCAAGCCTCCTCAGAGAACGGTCACGGGTGACAAGACCTTAACATTCTATTGGTGACAAGGCTTTGTCACGACAAGAACGCGCATGAATTCTGACCTCGTGGACTCTTTGATGCCTTGGTACTGGATGATCCAGCTATATATCTTTCAAAGGGCAGTGTCAACGCCTGTAGATTCTCAAATTCTAATCTGGGCCCTTCAAGGTGAATTTTGCTTGCTGGGTGCCCAGCTAGGACTTGAAGATGTCACCAGCGATTGCGCCCACCCCCCAGAAACCTCCGCCCCCAACGGGTGCCAAAGGGAACGACACCCACCAAACCGAAGCATCTGTGTCCATCTTCCGGTGGACCACGTCGCTGGTGAAGACGACCCCATCCTGAGAAGCCGGCGCACTGAGGGGCCGGGGGTTCCTGTGGTGTCCCACAAAACGGTCGTCACATGCCAAGTAAGTGACCAAGTGCCAAAGAACAAACCGGGGAAAAGAAGAACTTCTCCATTGCCCTCTTGGCCAACCCTTGTCTCTCTTCGGATATTCAACCGTCCACTCAGTGGAGTTGAACCTACAATCAATTTGCATGGGATGCTGTTGTGGTCACGACCCTCGGCTTCACGGTGGATTTCTATTCCCTTGCCAAGCTGGCGATCCTGGAGTGGCTTAAAATTGAATGAAGAACACGGAAAAACCCTGAAAAAGGAACGAACGAGGTGACGGCCGTCAGGGCTTCTGGAGAGGAGAACTGCGTCTGTTTGGTGACCTCAACATACTTCAACATAGTTCAACAACAGCTGCTACTATATGCTACTACTAGTAGTACTAGTACTAGTACTACGACTACTTACTACTACTACTACTACTACTACTACTACTACTACTACTACTACTA